GTTTCAGTCATGTTTGTCCTCATAGTCATGTGTAGAAGCTATTAATCCATGTTTGGGTAAGTATGGAACCATCTAGTTCATCTTATACACTACAAGTGAGTTTCCTCAATCTGGAGTCACAGAGGTACATTTCGGACTCCTTACCTCTTCCGGTTCCCAAATTAGGTCCATTTGATGTTCCTCCCTTGGATTGAGACCGTTTCAGTCATGTTTGTCCTCATAGTCATGTGTAGAAGCTATTAATCCATGTTTGGGTAAGTATGGAACCATCTAGTTCATCTTATACACTACAAGTGAGTTTCCTCAATCTGGAGTCACAGAGGTACATTTCGGACTCCTTACCTCTTCCGGTTCCCAAATTAGGTCCATTTGATGTTCCTCCCTTGGATTGAGACCGTTTCAGTCATGTTTGTCCTCATAGTCATGTGTAGAAGCTATTAATCCATGTTTGGGTAAGTATGGAACCATCTAGTTCATCTTATACACTACAAGTGAGTTTCCTCAATCTGGAGTCACAGAGGTACATTTCGGACTCCTTACCTCTTCCGGTTCCCAAATTAGGTCCATTTGATGTTCCTCCCTTGGATTGAGACCGTTTCAGTCATGTTTGTCCTCATAGTCATGTGTAGAAGCTATTAATCCATGTTTGGGTAAGTATGGAACCATCTAGTTCATCTTATACACTACAAGTGAGTTTCCTCAATCTGGAGTCACAGAGGTACATTTCGGACTCCTTACCTCTTCCGGTTCCCAAATTAGGTCCATTTGATGTTCCTCCCTTGGATTGAGACCGTTTCAGTCATGTTTGTCCTCATAGTCATGTGTAGAAGCTATTAATCCATGTTTGGGTAAGTATGGAACCATCTAGTTCATCTTATACACTACAAGTGAGTTTCCTCAATCTGGAGTCACAGAGGTACATTTCGGACTCCTTACCTCTTCCGGTTCCCAAATTAGGTCCATTTGATGTTCCTCCCTTGGATTGAGACCGTTTCAGTCATGTTTGTCCTCATAGTCATGTGTAGAAGCTATTAATCCATGTTTGGGTAAGTATGGAACCATCTAGTTCATCTTATACACTACAAGTGAGTTTCCTCAATCTGGAGTCACAGAGGTACATTTCGGACTCCTTACCTCTTCCGGTTCCCAAATTAGGTCCATTTGATGTTCCTCCCTTGGATTGAGACCGTTTCAGTCATGTTTGTCCTCATAGTCATGTGTAGAAGCTATTAATCCATGTTTGGGTAAGTATGGAACCATCTAGTTCATCTTATACACTACAAGTGAGTTTCCTCAATCTGGAGTCACAGAGGTACATTTCGGACTCCTTACCTCTTCCGGTTCCCAAATTAGGTCCATTTGATGTTCCTCCCTTGGATTGAGACCGTTTCAGTCATGTTTGTCCTCATAGTCATGTGTAGAAGCTATTAATCCATGTTTGGGTAAGTATGGAACCATCTAGTTCATCTTATACACTACAAGTGAGTTTCCTCAATCTGGAGTCACAGAGGTACATTTCGGACTCCTTACCTCTTCCGGTTCCCAAATTAGGTCCATTTGATGTTCCTCCCTTGGATTGAGACCGTTTCAGTCATGTTTGTCCTCATAGTCATGTGTAGAAGCTATTAATCCATGTTTGGGTAAGTATGGAACCATCTAGTTCATCTTATACACTACAAGTGAGTTTCCTCAATCTGGAGTCACAGAGGTACATTTCGGACTCCTTACCTCTTCCGGTTCCCAAATTAGGTCCATTTGATGTTCCTCCCTTGGATTGAGACCGTTTCAGTCATGTTTGTCCTCATAGTCATGTGTAGAAGCTATTAATCCATGTTTGGGTAAGTATGGAACCATCTAGTTCATCTTATACACTACAAGTGAGTTTCCTCAATCTGGAGTCACAGAGGTACATTTCGGACTCCTTACCTCTTCCGGTTCCCAAATTAGGTCCATTTGATGTTCCTCCCTTGGATTGAGACCGTTTCACTCATGTTTGTCCTCATAGTCATGTGTAGAAGCTATTAATCCATGTTTGGGTAAGTATGGGTCCATCTAGTTCATCTTATACACTACAAGTGAGTTTCCACAATCTGGAGTCACAGAGGTACATTTCGGACTCCTTACCTCTTCCGGTTCCCAAATTAGGTCCATTTGATGTTCCTCCCTTGGATTGAGACCGTTTCAGTCATGTTTGTCCTCATAGTCATGTGTAGAATCTATTACAAAATAAGACTTGAACTTTGATGAAAATGAAGAAAGGCGATGGCTTTAGGTGATTTCGGATGGAAATCGAGCTAAAGGAGAGAGCTTTAAGACTTAGAAGATAAAACCGAGTTTCTAGGCTAAGGAAAACGAAAGCAAGAGCTTATCACTATCGTGAATGAGCTCGAATGCAAGGTCCAAACTCAAGAGCTCACTATCGTGAGTGAGCTTGTACACAAGCAAGCTTTAAACGCAGATCCCATCACCAAAAAGCCCTCTAAACAAATCGCTATCGCGAGCTAGAGAAGCGGATCCCTTGTCTTAGATTATCTAGCTCTCAAACACACTTTTGATGTGTTGGAGCTTGAGATCTGAGCCAAGATGATCAGAAATGACTCAGCCTTAAGGGCACTAAGCAAGGAGAAACTCTAAAGGTCCTAGCTTTAAGCTCAAAACTCCCTTTAAAGCTCTCAAAACCGAATCACCTAAAACGATCTAAGACTACTCACTCATCCTGTTTGACAACCCGATTCTCATAAGAGGAAGGTTGTTTACAAGTAAATGAGATGCAAGGTAATGAACGAGTAAACGAGTACGTGATTTGATTAAAGGAGAAAGATCAAAGCTTACAAAGTCTAAGATCTCAACTAGAGTATTTCTTGGTGGCAAAATGAAAGACAAATTACAAGATGCCTAAAAACTTAGGACTTTTTAGTTTATATAGTGGGAACATCTAAAACCCTTCTTCTTTCCTTCCCAAGATTTAAGCTCCAGAACGCTGCGTTTCATTAAGGCATGGTCAACTCTCTTCTTGGTCAAAGAAAGCTTGTAAGGCGACAAACGGGTTCTGATCCTGGTTCGCATCCCGGTTGCTCTTTGTCTTGACGTCTCCGACACTCCTTCTCCCAAATGGCTCCAAAAGCTCCATTAAGCACCTGATTCAGACTCAAAATGCAATGTATATGCAATGCAAGTCCTAATGAAGATGCATGTGAATAGATAGAGATATATGGATATAAATGTATGAGAATAAGGCCAATAGGTGGAAATATGAATGAAAATGTATGCTAATGTATGTTAATATATGTGTATATCAACACCCCCAAACTTGAATCTTGCTTGCCCTCAAGCGAGAAGACCAAATCTGAGAAATGCTGATATATCAAGGACTCGAAACTCAAGAGTGCAATGAGAGGAAATGAAGTCAATGATCAGGTTGAGAATCATAAAATGCAAGGCGAATGAGCTCTACTTCTAAAATTTTAGCCACACCCATCAAAGCAACAGAAAAACACTAGGCTCAACTTCCACAATGCATTCAAATAGCTCTCATCCTTTAACATTCAATTATAACAGAACCGTGAATCAACCACTTATGCATTTCAAAGAGCTCGCTTGGCTTAAAGGGATAAGCTTCAAAGGACAAAGATGGTCCTGTTTTCTGGTTTCAAAATCAGCACAAGGGATCTCTCAAAGAAGGTTGAGCTTTAGTAGAATGCTAAGGGTGAAAACCAAGGATGATACAAGGCTAGACTTCCATCTACCCAATCCCCTGTTTCCCAAGATCCTATCTACCCAAGAAAGCTTAACTCTTTTACCTTTTTCTTTTCTTTTGCTTTCAAGTCTTAGGAGAGGTTTCTAAACTTCATCTAGCGGTTTGGGATCTTCCTTTTGTTTGGCTTTTTAGGCTCTTTTCTAAATTGGCTTTTGCCTTTCTTTTTTTTCTAGCTAGAGCTTTTTCTTATTTCTTTCCCAAACCTTCACTAGAGCATACACTTTCACTACTCTCTCCTAAGGGACTCGGCTTAACTTTTTCTTCCCTTTTTAGGACTTTCCTTCGGAACTCTTTCCCTTTTCTTTTCTTTTCAGAACTTCCCCAAGCCCAAATGGTGTTTCCCCCAAACTTAGTCCTAACTAGCTCAAAGGACCGAGCTAGAATCTACATGGAAGCCTAGACCTTGTCGGTAAAAACCCAACACTTTCTACCAAGCTCAACCAAAAAGGCCTTACACACTCAGAAATAACAACTTGGTTTCAAAGAAAGGTTGGTTCAAGGTGGGGAAATCTACTTGGATTAACAAGAGTGGTGAAAAGGGTGAAAGATAATCCAAGTATGTATATGTATCCGCGAGTTCTTAGCAAATGCACAAGGATGATAATTAACAATCAAATTCAGGTTTCGATAAGCAGGATGAGAGATCAAATCACAACAATGCTTCAGCCGATTCTAGATGTCAAAGAGTGCATTCAAGGTGTGGTTCTTTCTTAACTTCAAGCTCACTCTATATGCACCAAATGATTCAAAACCGGACCATTGAAACCATTTCGAAAAATCACAAACTTTTATTCCTCATTGTCCTCTATGCAAATGGGATGATATGCATCTAGACTCAATCCTAAAATGCAAATGCTCATGATGCTTTTCTTTTTGAGAATGCAATTTTCGAAATTTTTCAATTTTTTTGGTTTTTCTATGCCATATATGCAAATGCAAACTACATGAGACTCAAGGATGAAAATTGAAAATAAGAAAACAGAAAACATGATCAAATGCTATGGACCTCTCCCCCAAACTTAAAGTGCACAGTCTCTTGTGCACAAAGAGATGAAGAAGAGATCCATCAAAGAGATGCAAAAACAAAGAAAAATAAAAATGAGTGGTATTTACAAGGGGATTTGAGTCTTACCTTATTGTTGTCAGGGTAGGGTGGTGTGGGACAATCGTCAAGGTCGATTGGCTCCTGTTGAAGACGTTGGAGGTGGTGATGCGCCGGTTTTTCTCTTCCGCTTGCTTCTCCTTAACGTTGGCTCCACGGTTTTGCTTGGTGATGCGGCCTTTGGTTGCTTTTGGTGATGCACAAGAGAGCTTCTCCTTGAGAATTGACTGTCTCGGTGAGCTTCTTGATCACCTCATCTTGTTTCTTGCACCACCTTTGAAGCATGCCTATATGCTCGTGTGCCTTGATGATCGCGGACGCTTCCACTCGCGTTGTACGGGATGAAGTCGAACTCACCAAGCTCACTCGCTTGCCTTGAGGAAGGCTCTCCTCGTTCGCGCCCTTGCTCTTCTCCGATGTTGCATCGCCTCCATCCATAAACAACTGATCAGCCGAGGGGAGAAACAGGATTCCATCCCGGCTGTTGGTGTTTGTAAGATCGGTGTTCGGAAGAAGGATCTTGAGATGCCAAACGAGGGATGTTCGAAGCGATAGATGTGCTTCCATCATGCATTCCACGCAAGAACCAGTCTTGTTCAGGTGGGCAATGTCATGAACTTGGGTGGATGAGAAGGGGCCGGGAGCTTGACTTTTGTAGCAAGAGGATAGGAGTGATCAAGCTACCTATTGCCAAGTGAGACTCCTTGATCTTGCCTTGCTCGTACAAGCACTGCGTTCCTCATTACATGTAGCAAGGAGTTCACCAACACGACTGCCTTGCTCGTCTCTCGCAAGTCTCCTTTCATCTCTGTTCCGTCATCCAGAGTTTGAGCTTCTGGATTATCCCTTCATCAAGTAGCTCGAGCTCTTGCGTCGTGACGTTTGAGCAGTCATGTCTAGCAAAGAGGGTATTGGCGATCACCTTGTGGGCATAGCGTATCGCCGGGTTCTTGATGCAGCCGCTCTTGTTGCTGGAAATCTGATAAGACCTCAAGCTTATCATCCTCCACAGCGCATGGAGCTCAGTTGCGGCTACACACAACTCGGTGTCAAGACCTCGATCCTCCTCAAGGTTGTAGATGGTCTCAAGCTCCTTCATGCTGAGCAGATATCTTGTCCCAGTAGTGTGAAGGTGATGTAGCCATCCCATCTCTCTTGAGCTCAGCAGCTGCTCCCTGAGGATGCTTCTTGAGTTTCAGGGAGGCGAGGAACTCTATCGGTTCCCTATATGCCGGGAGAGCCTGCTTCGTGAAGTCTCCGAGCTCGATGTAGTAGAGGATGTCGTTGACGTCCTCCTCAATTCCCAGCTCCTTGATGGTTTCCTGGTGTGGGTAGCGCATCGACATGAACTGCATCCTCCTCAAGATACGGATGCGCTCTTGGACCCCATAAGGTCTGGGATCATCGAGTCATCCATGTCCTGGCCAGCAGTCTCCGGCCATTTCGGACCGACACCTTTGGGCCTCCCTTTCTTTCCACTATAGTCCATCTTTTTCTTCCCCACGCTTCTCTTCTCTTGCTGCTCCACATCTCCACTCTGAACCACGTCCTCACTTTGAACCGGCTTCTTTGTGAACTTTGTTTTCGCCATTGTACCTGAGGAACAAGCAATCTCAAGGTACGATTAGGCTCTGTTTTAGAATAATCACAAACAATCAAATTCAAAGTTCGGCTTAAACCAAATTCGATTTTCGATTAAGAACGAGCTCAAAACTTTCAAATCCAACCACTCAAGATCATTTAACAGGAAATTTTAAAAACATGCTGTGAACCTCGAGATTTAGCTAGAAAAGCAAGAACACTTTGAAAAACCTAGCTTCGAGATTCACTTCAAGCACGAAATTTCCTACATGCAAACTCGAATTCGACCTAACCTAGTCGCAATCAACCTGGATCTACTCAAGAATAGCAACAAACAGGTTTCTCTTTTGGAATCCCAAAAAGAAGAAAACCGAAGTGAAAAGAAAAACGAAGATCGGATACCTTGATTGGACTGTCGGATTAAGATGAATCGAGTTAAGTTTGATCGAGCGGCGGATTTAAAAAGATTTGAGCTTTGAAATTCGAATTTTGGTTGAGAAACGAAGAAATCCGAGATTTTCGTGTAGAGAGAATCGGGGAAAAAGCTTTTTGAAGAAGAAGAAACCCCAAGTTTTAAAATAAAGGAGAAAAGAAAAGGGTTTCTTTGATTTTAAAAATTCAAAAAGAAACGGGTCACTTACTGACGCGGGTTGTCATCGGGTTAGTTTCAGAACCTGGCTGACAACCCGTCTGCTTTAGAATTCACCCGGTTAAGCTGAGATTAGAGTCAAAGGAGTGTTGGATTGGGCAGTTGAATCACTTAAGCTCTTGGACAAGAAATGTCTTTATAGAACTGCCCATTTCCAATTCCTTAACTCTCTCTCAGCTTCTTCTTGAATCATCCCTACAAAACACATTAGATAAAAACAAAGCTAGATAAAAACATAAAACTATTTACAAAAGGATAACCATGGGACTTCCTCCCAAGTGAGCTTGTTTTGAGTCCCATAGCTTGACTTTCATTGCCTTTTTAGGCTTGGGGTGGATCATGGAGACGGATTGAACTTCCCTCTCCAATGCTTTGACTCCCCATGTACTTCTTCAACCGATGACCGTTAACCGTGAACTCAGCTCCATTGTTGTTCACTAGGGTGATGGCTCCATAAGGCAACACTTCCTTGACCTTGAATGGTCCTGACCAGCGACACTTAAGCTTCCCAGGGAATAGCTTGAGCCTTGAGTTGTAGAGGAGCACATCATCTCCCTCCTTGAAAACCTTGGGAGTGATTCTCTTGTCATGGAAGGCCTTAGTTCTCTCCTTGTATATTCGAGAACTCTCATAAGCATCCAAGCGAATCTCCTCTAGCTCGTGGAGGTCCATTTCCCTCTTCTCCTGAGCTGTACTTAGCTCCATGTTTAGGAACTTAATTGCCCATCTAGCTCTATATTCCAGCTCAAGAGGTAAATGGACAAGACTTCCCATAGATCAAAGAGTATGGAGATCTCCCAATGGCGTTTTGTAAGCAGGTTCTGTAAGCCCACAAAGCATCATCCAACTTCTCTGACCAGTCCTTCCTTGATGAGTTCACTGTCTTGTGGAGTATGGCTTTGATTTGCTTGTTAGATACCTCCACTTGACCACTAGTTTGAGGGTGGTATGGTGTGGCTATCTTGTGCTTCACACCATATTTCTTCAAAAGGTTCTCAAACACCTTGTTCACAAAGTGAGATCCTCCATCACTGATTATCACACCTTGGGAAGATGATAGTCTTGAACAGCTTGAGGACACTTTGGCATCGTTGGTTGGTGCGGCTATGCTTCACCCATTTTGAGACATAGTCAACGGCGACTAGATGTAAGTTGCCGTGAGAGGCAGGGTTGAATGGACCAACAAAATCTATTCCCCACACGTCAAACACTTCAACTTCCAAGATAGGGGTTCTGAGGCATCTCGTTCCTGCCGTGATGTTCCCTGCCTTTTGACAAGCCTCACACTTAGAGATGAAGGCATGAGCATCCTTGAACATGCTTGGCCACCAAAAACCTGCTTGCAACACCTTCTGGACTGTTTTAAAAACCGCAAAATGGCCTCCATAGCTTGACCCGTGGCAATGGAACAAGATTCCCTCAACTTCCTCTTTAGCCACACATCTTCTGAACAAGTTATCATTCCCTTTTCTGAACAAATAGGGTTCATCCCAGTAGTAGTGAACCACATCTTTGAAGAATTTCTTTCTCTGATAACCACTCCATCCACTTGGAACTTCCCTGCACACCAAGTAGTTCACAAAGTCTGCGTACCAGGAACCTCTTCTCCTCTTGCTATTCTTGCTTCCTCCAGCCGGCACTTGGTCAAATAGCCTCTATCCACGATCTTAGCAGCCATGAGTTGCTCCTCTGGCAAAGAGTCATCGATGGGAACATCTCCCTCAATCCTCAATCTCGATAGATGATCGGCACGCTATTCTCGGTGCCTTTCTTGTCACGATCTCGATATCGAACTCTTGAAGCAAGAGAACCCATCTTATCAGCCTCGGTTTAGCATCTTTCTTGGTGTAGAGATACTTGAGAGCTGCGTGATCGGTGTGAACTATGACCTTTGATCCCACAATGTAGCTCCTGAACTTATCAAAAGCAAACACTACGGCAAGCAATTCTTTCTCGGTCGTCGCATAACGGGTTTGAGCATCATCTAGCGTTCTACTTGCGTAGTAGATGACGTTCATCTTCTTGTCACCTTCTGACCAAGCACTGCTCCAACCGCGAAGTCTGAGGCATCACACATTATCTCAAAGGGGAGATCCCAATTTGGAGCTTGGACAATTGGTGCGCTAACAAGGGCTTCCTTGATCTTCAAGAAAGCTTGGCTACACTCTTCATCAAAGATGAACTCTGTTTCTTTGCATAAGAGTCTTGTGAGTGGCCTGGCTATCTTAGAAAAATCTTTGATAAAGCGCCTGTAGAAACCCGCATGTCCCAAGAAGCTTCTCACATCCTTAACTGATTTTGGCTCCCCAAGTTGCACCATTACTTCTATCTTTGCCTTGTCCACTTCAATGCCTTTCTCTGAGATCTTGTGGCCAAGGACTATCCCCTCTTTCACCATAAAATGGCACTTCTCCCAATTCAAAGACCAAGCTGTTTCCTCACATCTTTTCAGCACCCTACATAGATTAGACAAACAAGAGGAAAAGGAAGAGCCATAGACCGAGAAATCGTCCATGAAGACCTCAACCATTTCCTCTATTAGATCCGAAAAGATTGAAAGCATGGCTCTTTGAAACGTTGCTGGGGCATTACACAAGTCCAAATGGCATTCTTCGATATGCGAAGGTGCCATGGACATGTAAATGTGGTCTTTTCCTGGTCATTTGGATGGATTGGAACCTGGAAAAAACCACTGTAGCCATCCAAGAAACAGTAAAATGGATGACATGCCAACCTTTCAAGCATTTGGTCAATGAATGGCAAAGGAAAATGATCTTTCCTTGATGCAGAATTTAACTTACGATAATCAATGCACATTCTATGTCCAACTATTGTCCTACTTGGGATCAATTCATTCTTTTCGTTCTTGATGACAGTAATCCCACCCTTTTTTGGGACGCAATGTACTGGAGAAACCCAAGTACTGTCCGAAATAGGGTAAATGATTCCTGCATCAAGAAGTTTCAAGATTTCTTTCTTTACTACTTCTTTAAGATTGGGGTTTAACCTACGCTGATGCTCAATAGATCCCTTTGATTCATTTTCGAGATGGATCCTGTGAGTGCATAGAGTAGGGGAGAGACCCTTGATATCGTCCAGCGAGTATCCAAGAGCTCTCCTGTACTTTCGCAGCTCACAAGGAGGGTTTCAAGCTCATGGGGGTCTAATGCATCATTGACAATGACAGGGTATGTGGAGTTAGAGCCTAAGAACGCATACCTGAGCCCCTTTGGGAGTGGCTTTGAGATCGACTTTGGGAGCCTTAAGCTCAGACCAGTCATCGTCCGTGCCTTGCTCTTGAGAGCTTTCCTCCTTTGGTTTGACTCTAGAGCAAACAGGTTCTCAACCTGTTTTCCATCCCGGATGCTCTTCGTTTCTGACTGAACCAACTCGTCAAAGCCTGTCCCTCTTTTGCTGCTCTGTGTGAGTCCATAAGCCAAGCATAACCCATACTCTCTGCTTGTAGACATCCAAACTCCTCATTATCCTTAGTCAAAGCCAGCTGCAGCTTATCCTCAACTCCCAATTCCTCCAAGTAGTCTTCGGCTAGCTGCTCAAGTGTTTCAATGTAAAACGACTCACCATTTATAGTTGGTTGCTTCATAACATCTTTTACATTGAACACCATCTTGCAGTCTTTACCCAAATTCAGCTCAATCTTGCCTCTTCTCACATCAATTATAGCTCCAGTGGCAAGGAAAGGTCTTCCCAAAATCAGAGGATCTTTGGGTTCTTCATCCATCTCTACTACCACAAAGTCAGTTGGAACTATCACACTTCCCACCTTGAGTGGCATATCTTCAAGCATACCTACTGGAAGCTTAACTGATCTATCAGCAGGATCAGAGAGAAATGACACTCCTTGTATTTCTCAAAACCCAAACGCCTTGCCACAGTCAAAGGCATTATGCTTACACTCGCTCCCAAATCACACAAACTTTCTTGAATGCTAAAGGTCCCAAGAACAGGGAAGAGTGAAGCTTCCAGGATCACCAAGCTTCTTTGTACTGTCTTGCTTTGAATTATAGCACTACACTCTTGAGACAATACCACCATGCCTTGCACTTCCTTGGTTCTCTCCAAAATGGCATCTTTCAAAAATTTCTGATAAGGCTTGATCATCATGAGAGCATCCACAAAGGGATCTTCAAATTGAATCTCAGATAGTTGCTGATCAAAAACTTTCTGCATTTCTCTGCCATTTGTTTCTTGAAACGTGTTGGAAAAGGTAGCATTGGCTTGAATGGTGGAGGAACAAAAAGAGTTTCCCTCCTCTTCTTGTTTCCTTTTGACGGCTCCGGTGCGCTGTCCTTCTGCTTCTCAGGTCTACTGACTCTTTCTCAACTCTCCTCAGCTTCAATGTCGACT